ATAAGATTTTAATTGCTTTCATCATATCACTATGGTATTTATTTTCTAGCTCCCAAATTATTTATTTCTAATTTGGCACACTTAAATTGTAAATAACTCAAGGCTTCAATATTTTTGCATAATTTCTTCCAAACATAATTTCTTCCGAGATTTTAGGTGTTTTTGCTTTATCAATATATCTAACATACTAGATTTTGATATGAGTTAACATCGTGTATGTCATGGCTATGACTGCAAATTAACCAGCATCTATTATTTGTGTGGCTATGTAATTTAAGATTATTACTACAGCTGCTGAGAGCATATGATTGCATAATTAAGATGAGCAACAATGATCAACTGTCCAGTAGTTTATATAGGATTAAAAATGGAAGATAATCTTTTCGAAATTTAATATCTCACAATAATTTTCTCGATTACCTATCTAGCTTCCATCATGTCATCTAAGAGGAAGCTCTAACCACCATATAGTTTTATGAATTGGATTGGTCGTTTATATTCTCTTCTTCAAGAATTGTTGATTTGGTTAGGCCTATAAATTTTTCCTTATTAGTCCATTCTATAAAACATTGTCTAAAATGGTAAGAAATAGTTATATTAGTTTCATGACCTTTTGTTAATGTTAGTTGCTTAGAATTATATTGCCTTATGGGGTTTTTAAAAACATTAACAATTGAGGCATATGTATGAATTAATTAATCGGTTTTATCACTTGTAATTCTTTAGACGCGAAATTTTTTATATCAGCAATTTAAAATACTTTATACTGTAGTAAATCGATTTTGTACTGAAAAATTTGTAGAAATGTATTGTTTTAATTATTTATATTCTAGTTTTAATTATTTATATTCTAGTTTTAATTATTTATATTCTAGTCTTAATTATTTATATTCTAGTCTTAATGATATTTATATTCTAGTCTTAATGATATTTATATTCTAGTCTTAATGATATTTATATTCTAGTCTTAATGATCAATATTCTAGTTTATTTTGTACGTATAATATAATAAAAAACAAAATATGAAAATAAGAATAATCCTTCAAGAGTTTAGTAATTTTTAAAAATATATAAATATATAACCCGACAGAAGGCCGTGCAAAAGCGGGCCAAAAGCCCGCAAATTAGGGGGTATGGGGGGCGAAGCCCCCCATAAAATTTTTTTTAGTTGAGCCCCCTGAGATTGTAAAGGCTAGCGACGCCCCTGAATGTATCACAAGGTGATGATACCCATTGTGAATGCTCTTTTGCCAAACATAAATAAAGGTCAATACACAAAGGTATTGAGAGTGCTTGTAGGATATTTTGCCGACAATGGCATATCGTTTAATCCTTCCATGGCTCAAACAGATTTTGAAATAGCGGCCATTTCTGCTCTTAATGATGTATTTCCTATATGGCCATAAAAGGTTCATTTAGTTTAATATAATAATTTTATGTACATATATTTAGGATGCTATTTACACTATTCACAAGCTTTGTGGCGCAAATGCCAAATATTGGAATTATCAGGGTCATACATAGGCCATTCCGATGTACATAAAGTAGTCCGAAGAACGAGCACCGTCTCATTCTGTATGGAACAACATGTGGGGCAATAGTGCGTGATGCTTGCTATCAAATGGCTGCTAACCAGTGTTATTAAAATAGCGCGCTACTTTTTTCAGTAAGGGTAGCTTTAGCGCGCTACTTTTTTAAAAAATAGCAATAGCGGTACCTCGCTACTAATTTAGAAAGTAGCAAAGCAGCGCGCTACTTCGCTACTTTCAATTTTACATAATAAATACATTTAAAAATTATTAAAATATATTTTTTATTAAATCTAAAATTATAATCCTTTAATTTAATTTTATTTTATTTTGAAATTTAAATTTATATTTAAAAATATACATTATAAATCTAGTTAGCATTATAAATCTAGTAATTAAAAATACGTGAGATTGTTGAAGAAAGCGAAATTCCTTTGGAAAATGAGAAAAATATAGATTATCCTTTTCCAAAATTCAAAAAATACTATAATCTTGAAGAAAAAATTTTGGATATCGGTTTCGATGCAAGATGTGTTGCAAAATTTTATCCTCAAATCATACAAGCAGCTATAATTTGAAAAAATATTTAAAGATAATATATAACAAATTTAATATCAATGTGTAAGCTAATCCTTAATTTTCAAAATAAATTTAAATTAAAGACCAATCTATTTTTTTTATATATTCATAAATTTTATCTAAATTATTTTAAACATTTTAAAATAGTTATTTCAATCATTTTTATGTACTTATCTCCTACATAATTTTTATTCTAAGTATTGCTGTTATAATTTTAGACTGTTCACACCTCAAATTATAAAGAGATTGAAAAATATCTCAAATGTTTTGGGGTAATGAAAGAAGATACATTCACTTCCAAATCAAATTTAATTTAAACAAAATTAAGCAATTTGTATTCATCAACACCAGGTGTATCTCATAAATTGGCTGATAAAGTCATAATGAACTTTATAATAGATACTGTAAGGATAATGGTTCTTTTATAAAGATGATAAACACTTTTTCTCCACGTATCAAGATATTTTGCTGGCAGACATTGATGGCAAGAATTTTGGATAGCTTTGAAAGAATCTTTAATATTAAATCTATCAGATGTCTCCTACATCCATACAACAGCAGATTGCTGGACGCACAATAGAAGGTAAAAATGTTTATTTTCTGATATATAATATGATATTCATATTTTTAAAGCTTATTTAGGAGTGACCGCACATTGAATTGATCCAAAAAATCTAAAACGAAAATCTGTAGCATTAGCTCTAAAAAGAATAATTGGAGACTTATGACATTCTAGCAAATGTTATTTCAGAAATCCATATGTCTTACAAAATTTAGAACAAGGTTTGTAAGATGATTACAAATAATGGGTCTAATTTCCTGAAGGCTTTCAGGTTTGAAATTTATTTTTTTATAATATGATATAAATAATGAATATTTGGTGAAGATATTAACAATACTTGTAATATCCAAGACAACGAAATGTTATTATTATTAAAGTGCAATAATAAATAAATTATATATATATATGTAACAAATTATAGTTATGTTTTAATACCAATATTTTATTTGTGGAAATAAGGTTACATAAAAAATATTAAAAAAAAAATCAAAATAGCGTAAAAGTCGCTAATAGCGCGCTACTCATTTGAAAACGATAGCGGTAGCGCGCTATTTTTAAAAGTAGCGTTTAACAACACTGCTGCTAACGATATTTTGCTGCTAAATCTTATGCAATACATGGATACAACTTGGCTAGGTGATAGACCACTATTTCCTTATAAAATATGGTCAAGGTATAAAAGAGGCTAAATTATTTATCTAATTTATATATTTTTAATTTAGATATAGAATAGCGGGGCCCCACACTAATAATCATTTAGAAGGGTTCCATCATGCCCTTAATAAGAAAATTTCATATGCCCATCCAAATATTTATATGTTGATAAATATTGTAATAAATTTTCAAAATTGCAATGATCTTAAACTCACTCAGATAAATAATGAATCCACTGTCAATCGAATTAATTACGCGTATGAAATAAAGGATCGGAAGATCCAAAATTTAACGCAAATTTATGAAGAGACCCAAGATGTTTTAACATTTTTGGATGAGGTTTCAAAAATTATTGAATTAAAATGTTAGAATTTTTTATTTTATAAACATCATTATATATATTTCGCTATTTATTCAAATTTTATTTGTGTTTGCCTGTGAATTTTTAAATAAATGCCATCGGTTTATTTTTTATTAAAAATATATATGTATTACCTTTAAACCATTAATCAAAATAAATCCATCATTACAATTCCAATGTAAATATTCCATTCGCTTTTATTTTGCATATTATTTATAAATTTTGATGTATATGTGTTGAGTTTTGACCGATGGGTCCCCCTGTCTGAGTGGGAAATATACAGTCCATGATCGGGGGTCCGGGATGGTCAATGACGGGATCCAGGGGGCAAGGTTTTATTGATTTCGTCATGGTATCACACGGACAACGTAGTGGCCATAATATTTTCGAAGTTTATTCAACAAATTAAAGTCGATGTTACCCATAATATAAATTTTAAAATCAAAAGTTTATTCAACAAATTAAAGTCGATGTTGCAAAAATATAAATTTTAAAATCAAAAGAAAATAATTAATGGTCGAGAAAAAGGTATTTTTCCAACCTTTATAATTTTTGAAAACAAAGAGAAAAAAAAGGTTGTTATTTAATCGCGATACAATCATTCTTGAAACTGGTTAGAACCAGTTTCAAATGCAATATAAAATAAGGTATAATATCAATTTCATAACAAAAAAAAAGGAAGATGGAAAAACAAAAGAAGCAAGTAGAAAACAAAAACGTAAAGAGAAGAAATATGTTATACGGGACAAGTGGGGAGATAGAACATAACAATATGCGATCTATATTTTGTATGATTTTTTTAAATAAATTATTTATAATGATCAATTCGTCTATGCCATAAATACTTAAGATAAATAATTTAATAATATAAGAAGGCTAAAGACACTTTATAAAAAGTAGAACCTATTCTGAATTACATTAAGATATTAAAAGTTCTATTATATTAGGTTAGTATCAGTTACTCTTATAAATTCATATAAAATTATTTTGATAATTTAAAAAGAAGTGAGGTAAAGTTTTCTAATGACTTACAAATTAGTATTTATAAATTGAAAATACATTAATACCATGTTTATAATTTAAGAATAAATCTGATTAGGCAATAACTTAATATATTTCCGAAAAATTATTAACATATTTATGGCTCTAGGTTAAATAATTTTATATAAATTATTTTATAATATATAATTTAATTAAAAATATACTAAATATTTACTATTATATAAATAATAGATATGATATTTATATTTATCGCTTTCTTTAGTGGAGTAATACATAATGGGAACATTTTTTTATTTTTCGCTATTATCATTTTCGCAGTTTAATTTTCCCCTAGTTTCAAATTTCTACCAACGTTTTATATCAATGTATGTATTTTATCCCAATACGCTTTTAAATAGATCATTTTTTGATAAATGTTTACAAAGATTGAGGTAAGTTAACTTATTCGCGAAGAATATTAAACAATTATATTTAGCTATATGCTTCATGATGAATTATTGTGCTGGGATATCAGAATAGGATTAGAAATTCATATAAAATTATTGAATTTAGCCAAAATATTTTCTAATTCGTCAGCCAATTTTGTACAAATTCCAAATCATCATGTAACACCTGTAGATATTGGGTTTCCTGGAACGTTACCTGTATTAATTTTATTAATTTTATTGTTATTTTTAGATTAGTTGGTAAACATTAACAGCATTAAGAAAGCTCTTACCTTGGCAAAAATTTTAGATTGCCATATAAATTTTTCATCAACATTTGACCGCAAGCATTACATATATCCAGATTTAGCAGTAATATATTTTAATTTTATAAAAAGTTTACCAAACATTTAAAAAAAATTTATTTTGTATTTGTTAAATTGATACTATAAAATAAAAATATACTGGACCAGGCACTGATCTTTTCTTATTAAATCTGGTACTTTTATTATATATAATTTTTTTATTTTAAATTTTATATATGAAATTATAAAAAATGTTTTAATAACACAAAAAATCAAGATGATTAAAATATTAAATATAATTAACATTTATATTCTATATATAAGAGTTAATGAATATGATAAGATTTAGACCTGGCCTGGTAATATTTAAGTGACTTGTACCAGTGAGATAATAGATCTAATACATTCTATTATAAATATTAAACAGATATTATTTAATTAATTAAAATTATTAATTACTATATAGAAATTTATATAGTAATAAAGAATTTAAAGATTTTTTTTTTTACAAAACAAGGCAATTATTAAAGATCTACTGGTATAAGCTTATTCAAAAATAAATCCAATGATTGATTTTACTATTCATATTTATACAAATAATAAAATTTACTATTTGTAGATTTGATAATATAAAATAATTCATACAAAAATATATTGACAGATTTTTAATATTTTTTTATTTGCAAGTCTAATTTTAAACAGAATTTTTTTTATAATAATTTGATTAGTGAAATTAAAAGACATATTGATTTAATATCAAACCAATTTTTAACAAAATGTGTTTCTTGTTGTTTTTTCATTATAAGATATGAAATTTATGACAGCAAATTGGTTCCAAATAAGAAAAGTTTTTCATAAGCATATACCTTGTTGATTACATCACACATTTGATAACTTATTAATAGAAATGAAATGATTAAATTTTATTAACAAACATTTATTAATCTGAATAATTGTAATTGTGATATAGTGACTGATGTTGGAGAGTGTGGTGTATTTTTGTTGTTTATTAAGTGAAAAGGAAAATAAATATATTTTTGATGATTGATAAAAAGTTTTGAATTTAATTGTAAATTGAATAAAATAATTATATTTTTTATATGAAAGTTTTAGATTTAATTGTAAATTGAATAAAATAATTATATTTTTATATGAAAGTATTGGATTTAATTTTAAAATTATTTGTTTTTAATAAAGAATTATCATATTGGAATTCTGCTCGTGGAACCATAAATTCCACATTTTTTTAACTAAATTATAATATTGATAAAATAATTCTATTTAATCAAATTATTCAAATATTTGTTCAAATATTCAAAAAATTTGATTCAAATACAATTAATTAGTCAAATAATTTTTTATTTGTATTTGACATATTTGTTACAATTTGATTCATTTTTGAATAGTTTATTTCTAAACACAACGTTTTTATAAAGCAAGATAAAAATCCAAACAACATTGATTCATGACATGCAATTCTGCTTTTTTTAAATATCAGTTTGATATTTTTTTAGAGATTAAATGCCCTTTTTCACAATTGAAGTGAACAAGTTGTTATTTAAATATTATATTATGTAGGGCTGTGCCGATATTAAATATCGGATCGGATCGGTCCTGATATTTGGCGTTTTTCAAAAATATCGGATCGGCCCGATACCTGTAAAAAACCCGATCCGATCCTTTTACTAAAAATGCAATTCTTATAAAACTTTTGAGTAATGAAACTTTGAATTATTATTTTTTAATAAAAAAAATTTTTTTTAAATATTTTAAAAAAAAATAAATTTTTTCGAGTTTCTATTTTACATTAATAATTTTTTATAAATAATTTTTTTTTAAACAATGCAAATGTTATTTATTTTTTTAAATAGATTTTACAAGTTTTTTTATAAAAATAGAAAGGAACACCCAAAGTTTTATTTATTTTTAATTTTTTAAAAAAATAACACCAATTTTATTATTTATACTTTAAATAAAAATTATTTTAAATATGGTTTCTGAATTATGGAAATATTTTGATAAAGATGAAGGTAATTTTGCAAAATGCGTCATCTGCGGAATTCTAATTTCACGGGGAGGAATACTAAAAAATTCGTTCAATACAACTAACATTAGGAAACATCTGAAGCGTTGCCATCAAAAGGAATTCGAAGAGCTATCACAAAAAGAACGAGAAATATTAGAAAAAACAAATCAAATTTTAAAAAAAAAGAGCCCTGAAAGTCAGCCAACAATATCAGCCATTCTTAATAAAACTAATATTTGGAAACATTCTGATCCTAAATCAATAATAATTTCTAAATTTATAGGGGAAATGATAGCGTGTGACCATCAGCCGATTTCTATCTTGGAGGATATAGGCTTTAAAAGGCTTTTACATCATTTATGTCCAAATTACAAAATTCCCAATAGAAAATATTTTTCGCAAGGAGTTATTCCGGATATATATGAAAAACTCTCCGAAAAAATTCGTAAAGAAATTTTGGTTGACGATTCTTTTTTATCCTTTACGGTAGATATATGGACTAGAAATTCAGGTGGCGATTCTCACATCTCATTAACATGCCACTATATAAACCAAAATTTTCAACAAATTAATAGAGTTCTAAATGTTAAAACATTTAATGAGTCGCATACAGCAATAAATATTGCTCAAATTTTAGATGAAATTATTAATTATTGGGGTATAAAGAAAAATAAAATACACCTAATCATTAGAGATAATGCACCCAATATAACTTTGGCCATGAAAAATGGGAAATTTCAAAGCATTTCTTGTTTTGCACATAGTTTGCAATTGGTTGCACAGGCAGCAATTTTATCACAGAGATCTATTATTGACATGCTTGCCCGGGTTAGAAAAATAGTAGGACACTTTAAACATTCTTCTATTGCACAAAATTGTCTAAAAGAAATCCAAATTCGATTAAGTCTAGCCCAGCACAAATTAATCCAGGATGTGCCCACCCGTTGGGATTCTACCTATTATATGCTCGAAAGATTGATAGAACAAAAAAGGGCGGTACAGCTGTTCATTATCGATAATCCTAATTTGGGAAATCTCTCATTATATGAGTGGGAATTAGCAGAAAGGGTAATTGATGTTCTTGAACCAATTCAGAGAGTAACAAAAGAAATAAGTACGGAATCATGTTCAATTAGCAATGTTATACCCTTTGTTGAAATTCTGAAAAGTGAATTAACAATTAATGGGGACACAGATAGAGGTGTGCAGACTATGAAGAATACCACTAATAATCAATTAACAACTCGGTTTTTTGATATTTATGATGATGACAATTATGTTGTCGCAACATTACTTGATCCTCGATATAAGGATTTCTTTTTGCCAAAAAACATATCATACATAGAAAAGCTCAGGACTGCATGTGAGTCTTTTTTTAAAGGTGATGATAATGTTCAACTTCCAATTTCTAATAAAGATTCGCCAGGTTTTATATTTTTTAAAATAAATTTAGATTTTATTGTTAACTTAGGTAATGACAATGAGAAAAATGTTCCACATAACATTAAAAAATGCAAATTTAATTTAAGGGATGCTTATAAATTGAAAATCAAAGAAAAACTAGTAATAAATGAAATCGATAGTAATGTAAATGATGGCCTGCCATACCTAATAGAAATCAAGGAATATTTAAAAGAATCTTTATATATAGAAAGTATGACAATATATTATATTAATTTAAATATTGCTTGGTTGGGCTATGATTGACCCATTTGTTTGGGTGATTTTTCAAAATCAACAAAAGATTGGGTTTGTATGAAACCCACTATTTTATAAATGCTAATTTTATATTTGTGTTATTTATTTAGAAAACTCGAATAACATTGATGATATTAATATTATATCCCCAGTGAATCCACTTGAATATTGGAGAGTTAATGCTGTAAAATTTCCAACTTTATCAACACTTGCACGTAAATTTTTGGCTCCTCCAGCAACAAGTGTCCCATCTGAGTCTGCCTTCAGTATGGCAGGGGATATTGATAGTCCTCATCGTAGAAGCCTATTGCCTGAAAATCTAGAGGCTCTTATATTTATTAAAAAAAATTTAATATATTATAATTTTATATATTAAATATTACAATTTTATAAACCAACATAAAATGGATATATTATTATATATTTTTTTTAAAATTATTGTTGAAATAAAAAAATTAAATTATGCATAATTCTTTTATGCATAAAAAATATTGATTTATTAATTACATTTGGTTCAAAGAGGGGTGGTAAAAAATTAATATAAATATCGGATCGGTATCGGATCGGTTTTGAACCAATATCGGATCGGATCGGTAAAAAATATGTGGATCGGCACAGCCCTAATATTATGTAATAGTTTAAATCATTGATATTGAGAGATATCTTGCTATTAAATTAAAATAAGGTGTTCATTGAATTTAAGGAAATGATGATAACATAATTATTAGATAACTATCCATGATCTTTATTATAGGAATGAATATTTAATCAGATATTACATTTATCTCTCTTATATTATTACAAAGTACAAACCAATGTTATTATTGGGGCTATGCAGATTAGTGCACTATCTTTTTTGGTAGCTATAGCTAATGGTGGCTACTTTTTTTGAAATATTTAATTTTTTAGCGCGCTACTTTCAAAAATTATATTATATTTTTATTCGTGTTAATAATTTAAAATGTCATTGCCTAGGATATCCAAATCGTTGAAAGTGATTCAGCAATGATATTAATGGAATGGAAGACAGGGATGAAAATGTTCTTAATAGCTATAATACAAATTTCCCATTCCCTAGATTTGAATTTTTTTTTAAAATAAATATAAAAACCAAAACTGGCTTCAAATTTAATTGTTTAAAAATGTAAAAAAAATATTTCCTCAAATCAATCCAGTTATAACCTCAAGAAACACCTAAAGGTAAATTGTCATTTTTACATTCTAATAGTATTTATTTTATTAGACTGTTCATGCCAATAGTTTCAAGGAAATGGAGAAACATCTAAATAATTTTGGTATAGGTGACTCTTCATTCAAAAAGACTAATTCAAATTCAAACCAAATTAACTAATAATACAAATGTCAATATTTCTCAGAAATTGGCTAATAGTTATTGTTGATTTTATAATTGATACAGTTCAGCTGTTCTCTGTTGATAATCCATCATTTACCATGATGATTAAAAATCTATCCACTGGTACAACAATTTTATGTCGCCAGACACTAATGAATAAAATAGCAGATAACTTTAAAGTGATGAAAGATGCTCTAATAGTAGAGTTATCAGAGATATCTTATATATGTACCACGACAGATAATTGGACACATAACACAAGGTAAAAACTTATAAAATGCAGCAAATTACCATAAATATTTATTTATATTGCATAAATTTTTTATAATCAAAATTAACTATTTTTTAATATTTATAAATGTTGATTTTTATATATTTACTATACAATAACATTATAAGCAGGAAATAAAACAAATTTGTTTCTATATTTTTTTTATAAAAATAGCCTAAAAGGTAGAACTTTTAAATAGTAGCTAATAGCTTGCTAATTTTTTTGATAAATAGCAATAGCGCAACTCTGGTGCCAATCCACAAATTTTTCACAGTAACGATTCCAATACCGATCCGATATTTATATTGATTTTTATTGACCATCTATCTTTGATGTCATAAATATATAAATATTTTCTACTTTAAAAAAAACCAACTAACTTTTACGAATGGTTAAATGTATTTTTATTTTTTTTATTTTCAAAAGTTAATATTCTCATTTAAAATATATGCAATGTTTATGGGTAAATGTAGTGGTTAAATAGCTCCATTTAGCTGATTTTAAAAATAGGCCAAATAAAAATATTAACCATTATTACCTATGCCTTGAAATTTCGCCAAGAGAAGTCCAAACCTTTCTGATATCTGTGGTAAAAATCAATAAGCATGGGTAATTTACTCTTGGCCAAAATTTTGATTAATTTTTTTTTAAATTGGCTATCGAGCCTTTTAACAACACTAACTGAATGTGACTCGTTAGATATTTTAAAATCATTTTCTTTTTGCAGATAATATAACAAAAAAATAGTGTAAAATTGTAAACTATTTTTTTTAAATATTACAACAAATAAATTGTATATTATTTCCCTTCATTAATTTATTATTAAGAAATTATTTATAAAATAAAAAATTATTATAAATAACCAAAAACAATAAAAAAAGTATCGGAATCGGGATTTTAAAAAAGATCAGCCCGATCCGATATTTTTTGAAAACGCTAAATATCGGTGCCGATCTGATATTAAATATCGGCAGTGCCCTATTGTTATTGATATATTTTTTTACAATTTGCATAGATTTTTATAGGAATTTTTTATAATTTACATACATTTATTGAAATATTATACATTACATATTTACAAATAAAAACCTTGCAGATTATTTATTACACAGTTATGTGGAATGCCTTTTAATAATTTTAATTCTTTATTAGTTATAGCAGTATCAATAGAATTTTTATCTTTATCCCTAAGACATCTCTTAATTCAATATTTTAAAACATGTATTATATATTTAAGATATATATTGTCTACATTTTTTATATCTACGTTTATTAATGTAAATTTTATAATAAGAATATATAAACTTATTTGGTGAATTTTTAATAAAAGTAATCCATTCTATTTTAGAATTAAATCTTATCTTACTCTTAGATAATTTATCCCTCTAAATATTTAGTTTGTTTATTCTGCTTGTGTAAGATATTTGAATAACTTGGTCCTCATGCTTTTTATATTTTAATAAGTAATATTAGCTTTAAAGTAACATTGGTTCCTTTTCGAGGACAGTAACTTTTTGCACAGATTATTTAATAAAATATTTTGTAATATAAAAAATCAGCTGTATGATAATATAAAATCGAAAAACCTTGCCTTTGAAAACGTTTTGAAAAAACATTTTGTTTGGAAATAGCTTATGGTCTAGTATCAGCTGATACTTTAAAATTTAACCAATCAATGATTAAAAAAATAATGAAATTATGCATTTAATTTTTTCATCTAACAATTTCTAAACTGATAAAAAGAAGAAGAAAGTGCTGTTAATTTTTGTTTCCAATTTTTTTAAATCTTGATTTTATGAATTTCTTAAATTAATTAGAAATGACAACATCGATGAATTTATACCCTTGCTTTTTTAAATAAAAAATATGTTACATTTTTATTTTTGATATCAATGTTTGTATATCGGTGGTATTGGGTGATGCCATGTAAAAATCAACATTGGCTAAAAAAAATTCACTAGTGTATCCTTGTATATTTTGCTGCAATTTTTCTCAAAATAAAATTAGAGCAATAAGTAAATATAAATCATCATTTAAAAAAAATATAGAGAATTTTTGACCTTTGAAAACAATTGGCATATAAATATGTATATTTATTCTCTTATATAGCAAGGATATCAAATTACACAAAAAACACCACTGGCTCAAAATGGATATTTAGAGTATATTAAGTGGAATCCTGCACACCAAACTAAAGCTGAATATAGAAAAGTCAAAATTCAAAAAATTCATATAGAAAATGATAGTGGAAAAAGTATCTATGGCCACAAAAATTCTCGATTAATAGATTTTAATAGATCTGGTATAATATTAATTTAATAATTTAATTAAAGAATTTGTAATATTTATTTATTTTTATGATCTTTTAGTTCTTTAGAAAATTGTCATTCCTTCATGGTAACATCAGGAATCTACTAATAAATTTTATTTAAAAGAAATAAAAAATTTGTAAATAATATCAATTTTATATATTCAATTAATACTTATTATAAAATATCTTAAACAGACTTCCCTTATTGTTTATATTAAAATGACATAAAATTATTTTTATACATATAAATAATTATATTTTTCAGTAAAAAAGAATCAAAATATAATACCTAATAAATAAGTAAAAAAAATCCAGTCAGCAAATTAAGAAATAAATATATAATTTTCTTGATGAAAAATAAATATGTTCCATCAGAACACTGGGAAAAGAGTGTTAAAAGAATATATCATATTAATAGCATTCAATATCATTTAAAACTTGTAATACAAAATTTATAAAATATTCAGGTTCATGGCATGACAGATTTTGCCAGGATAACATTCTAGCATGTATAAAGCGTCAATACCGATAATAATTATGTTATCTGAATTTGAAATATGAAAAACGGCCCGATTAAGATTTTAGCCAAAATAGGATTACATATGGTTAACATTGAATAAATATGCTCTACTTTATTGTTTATTTTACAGAGATCTTTTATTTATAAATAGAGAATATTTTTCAACGATGGGATAGATTCTAACATTTCTCGAAATGTGAATTATATTTAATTTATTACATCGACGATTTACAGGATTACTCATACAAAAAAATGATCCAAAATGAAACAAAGGAAAAAATAAAGAAGACAGGGAAGATAATTTTTTAATAATGAACTGGATTGATCAAAAATGAGAAAAAAAAATTAAAGAAAGAAGACAAATTGATTGAAAATGAAAAAAAAAGAGAAAGGGGTTTAAAAAGAATAAAAAATTAAAGGAATTTAAAATCACAAAAAAATAATATCAAAATAATTTTTTTTTTTTTGATTTTCCTCCTTTGATCTGACTTTTTCTTTTTTTTAATTTGGCCATCTTTTTTTTAATTTGGCCATCTTTTTTTTAGAAAGAGATACTAGATATTATTTATAAATATTAAATTAATATAGATAAATATTAAACCATTTTTTTAAAAATCACAGGCGTTGGTCTATTGGAATTAGTTACCGAACCTACATTTAACGATAGCGAGGACTGTGCGAGTTTTTTAAGGGAATTGATAGAGAAATTAACAAACGCGGGATTGAATGATGGAAGATTGGATAGGGGATCTTTAAGAGTTGACGCGAACCTACACGTGTATCCAATATTTAATAATAACAACCGAAATAACATTATTCCAAGATGCGAAATTAAAAATATGAATAGTGTAAAACATTTGGTGAATGCGATTGAGTACGAAATAAAAAGGTATAAACTAAATTACGAGGAAATAATCGAAAAAACTAATTTACAATTTGAAACTCGGTCATACAATTCAAACACAGGAAAAACCTACGCCACAAGGTTAATTAAATTTATTTTTAAATAACATTAAAGTCTGACAGTTTTTCATTCATACATTCAAACATGATAACAAAAAAACTCGGTGAGTTTCTGGCTATACTTAAATAGGGAAAATCAAAGTTACGACGAATAAGATCTGAGCAGAGCATCTGCTTTTTTAGAAATCTTTAAAATTGTCGGGGTAATATCGCGGGAAATTTTTCCCCTCCAATTGTTTAAAAAATTTTTTTGGAGACATTTTGTCAGATATTTTTTTTTAGGATAATCTATATCATAATATTATAACGTTAATATCATTCTGAATGTGAGATAATTAAAAAATTTTTTTAAATATTTTAGTTATACATAACTCCTAACTGATTTTATTCTTATTATTTTAGAGTGAAGAAGAATTTTTTAGGTTACCGGTATATTCCCGAATACAATATTCCTAACTTGATTTTAACGCAACAACTTTTAAATTCTCCAAACGTCAATTATGATGATAAAAATCGAGAATTATATTATGACATCTCTTCATCGGATGCAGCAAGAATATACAATATGAAATTCGGGTTAACTTTAGATAAATCATTGAATTTAGCACGGGATAAAGATTTATCGCGCGTATTTCTTAGAGCAAATCAAATGGCGAAATCGTTTTTCGCCTTAAAAGCTCCTGTTTTCCTCTATTCAGACAACTCTATTTACATAAATCCTCATCATTTATATAGTATTATTACTACAACTTTAAAATCATATTTGAATGATGATTCATCTATAATTAGTTTTGAGGATAATGCAAAATCATCTACTATATCCCTATTTGAAAGAAATATTGTGAAAAATTCTATAACACTCAGCGAATTATCAATAACCTTGATATTCTTATTGGAATTAGTGCGTCAAGAAATAATTACATTAGCTACCTCTAAATTGGTGAATTATTTTATAAAATTTTCAAAGTATGCCCATAAATATATCTTGCTTGAAACCATTAAAAATTATCACAATATATATAAATAATTTATTTAATCTAAATTTAAAACTTAAATTGAACTTCCTTTTTATTATCTACTCTCCATTACTAGTTATTAAAAAATTTATTAAAATTGACGAAGGATGTAATTAGTGTAAATTATACTCAAATTAATTAATTTAATCAAATAATGAACAATTTAAATATACATTTTTTTTCAAAATATTTATTATTTTAATTTTATATTTGGATACAAGATAAAACTAACCTTAAAGTTTATAAAATATTTATTGTCATTCGTCATTCTTTAAGCATATTGCCCTTTCATGTTGTTGAAAACAATAGAGCTACGCTTGATTCTTCTCATGCCCATCAAACTGGGTAAAAAATATATGGTTAATTTAAAATGACAAGAATCATCCACAAATTTCTGGGCAGGGTGCAGTTACCTGTGCCCAAATAAAGACTAGCTTTATGATTGAACGCTAATGGGCGTTAAAAAGATAGTTAAAACAGGCCCATACCCGCTTTAAATGACATTCTATTTTATTTGTTATAGGGTTAGAACAATAATTTTTACTGAATTGAAGCCTAATAATTAGTGCTGGGATACATTCTGTTTTATATAAATATTCAAAAGATTTAATATAGCATTTCCATTGAATTCAGATTTACCTAAATGAATGAAATTTGATATTATATTATTTAACTTCTATGCTCCTTCAAAATAAATCTACACAAAAATTTTTTTCCTATCAATTGTGATCAAATTTAAATTTCAAGCTATTAAAAGGTTAAAAAGTATATGCCCACTTTCATCAAATATAATTTTAATTATAATTCTATATTTATATTTCATTTAAGGTTCATAATGCTTTTCTAAAACTCATATAATGATGAGTATAATTTTATTAAATAAGTATATATGTATATATAAATTAATTATTACTTTTCTACTGGTTAGCATGTTGATATTCCTAGATAGGTATAAGTTAAAGAAAATGTTGGTTATAATTATAGAAAATTTGGATGGGATTTAGATAGCGTTAGAGTTTCTAGTTTTTTTTATGTAATTAGCATTTGCTTTATATATATTTTTTGTTGTTTAATTGCGTATTTGCTTCATGGTAAATTAAAGCTGATCACATCGCTTGTAGTTTTATACAGACATTGTGATTCATAATACCCGTATTTCTTCCTTTTGTATGAGTTGAACCACAGGAGAGCATCGATGTTCTATTCCTGATTTCCTAATATATGGCCAAGAAATTCAATTTATTTTCTCCTTAATATTATGTGTATATTGGTTTGTGATAATTTTTCCAAAAGTTTTTTGTTTTATATGATTTTGTGATAAATATATATGTGATGGTCAATGTGTTTTTTCCTGCAATGTGTTTTTTCCTGCAATATGTTATTTTTTCAACTTTAAATCATTTTTGAGCGCCTTTTTAAAAATTTAAAAATCTGATTTTACCGGAAATGTATGCCACGATGTTTGGAATATCTACCCTATGAATTTCAGACAATTTTTCCATGTTTTAAATTAATTAAATTAAATTTTACATATATCTTTTATATAATTATAAAAGACCAAAGGTTAACAGCAAAATTGTCTACAATTTATAAGATATGTCTTCCAAACATGATAGAATATATTTCCGGTAAAATTAGATTTTTAAATTTAAAAAAAAGCGCTAAGTGATTGAAAATTGTAAAAATTAAAAACACATTGACGCTAACATGTCCATTAAGTTGTCTTGTCTGAGGCATTTATTTATGAAATTCTGAACTTATATTATTTGTGTTTTATTTCATGTACCATATAACGGTAGAACTGAAATTTTAATACGTATTTTTAGTAAATCTCTTTTGACGACCATAGTTTGTAATATTTTTTATATGTAATATTTTCATTCTTTATTCTGACCTCTATTTCTCAGTCGGTATAACTTTTATTATCTAAAATATTTGAAACATTCATTTGTTTTTATTTGTCAACTGTAATGCTATCCATTTGAACACTAGGTAATGGTATAATAATGGTTTTGTTATATTTAATACCAAGTCCGGCTCTTAAACTATGTGCATAGAATTTTTATCTATTCCATTGTTTCAGTAACTGATTTCGTAATGAGATATATCATCGGCGTAAGAAATAATTTTTTGATATTATCTGATATTTTGCAAGGACCCTGTTAAAATGTTTGAATAGCTAATTGTATCAGATATTATTTTATTCATTATTATATTGAATATGATTGGCGACAATATGCATCATTCCCTTACACCCCTTTTGACTCTTAAAGGAGGGTATTGAGTTTGTCTTTGGAACTTGGCAAACGAGTTATTATAACCAAATTTTGAAAATAATAAGAAATATTTTGTTATGCGATGTTCCTTTGAGATGTTTAGATTTTATCTTGTCAGGCCCTGGGGCTTTATGTAACCTTAACTTCTTTTAATGATTATTTATTCATCAAAATTTTTTCTATCTTTTAATGCGGATATCGGCTTTTTAACTATCTCTTTAATACCTATTAGCGTTTAAGCATAAAGCCAGATAGATATAATATGTTGTGAGAATAATTATAACTTGTGCCAAAATTTTTTAAAAAATGGTTAAAAAAATTTAAATAAAAATATTAAGTACAAAAAAAATGATTAAATATTTGAACCAAGACATTTCATATAAATTATTATTTATTCTTCAAAATATTTTCTATCTTAACTAAGGTTTAAATAAACTTATTAATTTAATCTAGTAGGGTTCACAGACCCCTATCAATCACAAAATATATGTATCTTAAAAACTACTCAAAAATAAAATTTAGTACATATTCCAAGATATATTTAGCGAAACTACGAAAATTCTAGATCATAATAATACACCGTTTTATTCTAGCATGCTCGCGGTATAATAGATCCCGCTGGAGTACTGAAGGAACTATTAAAAGAATATAATCTCATTAAACTTATTTATAACTATTTAATATGATATATATTATTTTACAGATATTGTCTAAGTACTTAGAAAACAAAAAGACGGACAACGAAAATGGTATCTTTAAGAAAAATGTACTTGCTTGGATTTTATTAAACAATTTAATCCAAAATACAAATGCCCCAATGATTCGCCAATCTGTTAATGATTATTTAAAAATAAATTCCAAAGTATACAAATTTATTTTCATATAGATTTTCTTATTTTACTAATTTTTAATATTGTATATAATATATGAGTTCCTTATAAATTAACAGAAGTTTCATAAGATTTTTCTATAATTTTTACCAGAGTTTGCATATATTATAACTAAATAAAAATTTTAGCCTCTAAAGTTTGAAAAAATAGGGCATTTTTGGCAAGATACGCTCCCTTTAATTTAAGATATCTTTGGATATAATTGAGCTAAAAGTATCATATTTCTTTATATAGCCTAGGCCTTTAAAGTTATAAATGTTAAATAAATTTAAATCCCCAAAACTGGAAGTGATCTTAAAACCAAATCAGCATTTTTTTTAATGTATAACTATAAGATTAATTAATAAATATTTAAGTTGGGCCGAGCACAGGTTTAGGGGATATGTTATTTTAATAATTAGTCAACTGTAAAATTTTTTAATAAATATTTGAATAATCATTAAGTATTTATATTTAAGCCTAAAACTTTTAAATATTTTATATATTTAAATAAAAGATTGGGAGGGGGGGGGGAAGGGTGGTATTGTTAATTTATATATTTAGTTCATAAAATTCGCATTTTTTTAATTTTTACAGTGGATTACAATTTATTCAATTTGGATGAACATATACTTTCTTAAGACCTAAGAAATGTATTTCTTTTGATGATTAACCAGAATAAAATCATTAAAACTAATGATAAAATTTGCAGTATCTGTCATAAAAAAATCACATTTCCTTTAAAATCCAATGCTACCCTTGAACATCTAATGATCCATTACTATTAATGGGCGAGACATTAATTAAGAAGAAACACATAAGGGAAGAAGATAATCTAACAATAGACACTGAAAAAAAATTAAGATATTTTGAAATTTTTTTCAGAAGATAGGGGAGACAGGGGATATAATGAACCTGGGGTTATAGCGAGATATGGTTTTATTAAACTCTATGGGATAATATTTTTTTACCAAAACTATATATTTTTATATTGCATATGCTGCTATTTCTTATTTTTATCAGACAGCTTATGGAATTTTTATAATGCATTCGTATCTGCAAAAGTAACTTTCTAAGCCTCTATTATTTTTGAAAAATATAAAGATTTAATATACATTTTACCACCCAAAATCATCTTATATAAAAGGAAAATAAATTATTTTATAGAATATAAATTTACCCGAACAAAATTGATATTATAAATAGTTCAAAATATGATCTTAATCAAAGTGGTGGCATTGGGGCTATTTTTATTAGGTTTATTCGAACCTTTTTCGCCATTTTTTAAAAATTTTAACATGGTTAGAAATTACAAACCCAAAAAATTTACTCAAGAAGAATTGATGATTATATTTTCCCAAAATAAATCATTAATCAATATTATGAGCCAAACCTAAGTTATACCACAGTTAAGAGATATAACTTAAGATTCAAGAGAAAACAACATTTTATTTTATCCAATGCAAGACAGATTCTTAATATTGAACATGAGGCAATACTTTCAAAGTATTTTATCAAAGCAAAAGTAAATTTATTAATTGTTCATAATTTATTTTAATAAAGGCCAGAAAATTAGCTTATCAAATTTCATTAAATATAATATAGAAGTACCAGAAATTTATCATATGTTCTTCAAATAAAATTCCAATTTAATTTTAATGAATATAAAATTACTATGCAATTATTATATGAAAATATTATTATTATTGGTTTAACAATTGTTCAGAAATCTTCTAAAGTTTTAGCCATGAAAGGCGAAAAACAAGTAGGGGCTATTACATCAGATGAGAGGGGAACTATGACTTTAGCAATTGCAGTCAATGCATTGGGCAACTTGATACAAATATTTTTAAGCGATGGATTACTTGGTGCTATTGATATATCAAATGGTTCTGGCTGGATGTTATAGGATGACTTTTTAATTCTCTTAAATCATTTTGCTAAACATGTTAAACCTACAAAAGATTGACCTTATTATATTAGATAATCACATTTCTAACTAATCCTTAAAATAAAACCTATTGACTTTTGCTTGGAGGAAGGGATATTATTAACTCTCCCGCCACATTGTACCCATAAACTACAACCTTTGGATAAAACAGTGTTTGGTCCATTAAAGGGATATTATAACTCTTAACTTGACTCATGGATGAGAACTAATTATGGTAATATTTTATAATCTCTGATATACCAGGTATACTCAAGGATATTTTATCTAAATCATGTGCTCCAGCTACAGTTCAAAATGGTTTTAAATCATGTGGAATTTGGCCATTTAATCCTATAATTTTTAATGATGAAAGTTATAATATATTCATAAATGATTTACCAATACTTTAAATTATGGAAACTAATGATAATAATAAGAGTGTTAGTTTTGAGAATAATGATATGTCAATAGGAATTAGACAAGATGAGTTTTAAGTCAATTTTTCTTATTCAAATGAGCCAACAACCTCTAAATATTTTGACCCAGAATCAATTTTTTCATGCCCAACATTTTATAAAAAGCCTGGAAGCAAAAATAAACAATATCTGCTATTTTAACTTCTTCACCATATAAAAAGAAGCAATAGAGTGAGCAAATAAAAAAAAATGTTATTAATAAGAAAAACAATTGTTTTGTGTTCAATAAAATTATTACAATAACAATCAAGATTGGTTTTAATGTCGTAAATGTAGTTATTGGTTATATGGAAGCTGTTGCAATTTTAATCCTTTTTTTTATTTGCAAAGATTGTGAATAATGTTCCCATTTTTTTTATATTATATATTATTTTATGCTTTAAATCATTAAATATGTTCTAATAAAAAAATATAAAACCTTTATGTGGAAAATTAAGCAGAGCTTATAATAGCCCCGAGCAAAGGCTCGTTCGTCCCCGGGTAGGGTTCACTCTTTCCCTAAAAAAAATTCCAGAAAGAATAAAATTTTGAAAAAAGTATTATATATGTATCATAAATCAAGGCGTTTACTATTTGATTCTCATATGGATTCTGAAGGTTAGCCCTTTTTTGCTTACTTTTGGTAATATTTGTCATGGGCTATTAAGATTAAATGTCATTATGCTTTGATGACAAAATCAAGTTCAATGGATTATGACTATTTTAGAATTCTTATAGGGGAGACCGGAGTTATGGCGAACCCAAGAAGTCAAACCTTAATAAAATTAAAAGTACTTTATCATTTTTAATAAAAAATATCTCATTTTGTTCAGCTCTATTAGTTTTATGGTAGGTTTAAATAACAAAAATAGATATCTAGTACTTTTTTCATAATTTTAATTTTTCTGGAATTTTTTTTTGGGAACGAGTGAACCCTACCCGGGGACGAACGAGTCTTTGCTCGGGGCTATTATAAGCTCTGCTTAATTTTCTACATAAAAGTTATATATTTTTTTATTAGAACATATTTATTGATTTAAAGCATAAAACTAATATATAAAATCATTTCTAAACAAAAAATGGGAACATTATTCACAATCTTTGCAAATAAAAAAGGGATTGAAATTGCAACAACTTCCATGTGACCAATAACCACATTTACGACATTGAAACCAGTCTTGATTGTTATGATGCTTGTAATAATTTTTTTTGCACACCAAACAATTGTTTTTCTTATTAATACCATTTTTTGATTTTTTTCTTTTATTTGCTCTCTCCATGGCTTTTTTTTTATATGGTGAAGAAGTTAAAATAGCAGAATATTGTTTATTTTTTCCAGACTTTTTATAAAATGTTGGGGATGGAAAAATTGATTCTGGGTCAAAATTTTTACAGGTTGTTGGCTCATTTGAATAATAATGGATGATTTCAGACTCATCTTGTCTAATTCTCAGTGAAATATCATTACTATCATTATTCTCAATATTAAAATTGTTATTATTATCAATAGTTTCCTCATAATTTAAGGTATTGGGTATATCATTTACTAATGTATTATAACTTTCATCATTAAAAATTATAGGATTAAATGGCCAAATTCCACATGATTTAAAACCATTTTGAACTATAGCTGGAGCACATGCTTTAGGTAAAATTTCCTTGACTATTCCTGGTATATCATAGATTGTAAAATGTTTACCAGAATTATTTCTCATCCATGAGTCAACTGAAGAGTTATAATATCTCTTTAATGGGCCAAACACTGTTTTATCCAAAGGTTGTAGTTTATGGGTACAATATGGTGGGAGAGTTAATAATATTATCCCTTCTTCCAAACAAAAGTCAATAGCTTTTATGGATTGGTGAGAAATATGATTATCCAATATAATAAGGACCTTTCTATCTTTTGCAGGTTTAGCATGTTTAGCAAAATGATTTAAGAGAATTAAAAAGTCATCTTCTAACATCCAGCCAGAACCATTTGATATATCAATAGCACCAAGTGGTCCATCTCTTAAAAAGTGATCATAATATTTGTATCAAGTTACCCAGTGCATTGACTGCAATTGCTAAAGTCATAGTTCTCCCAACTTGTTTTTCGCCTTTCATGGCTAAAATTTGGAAGATTTCTGAACAATTGTTTAACCTATGATAATAATATTTTCATATAATAGCATAGTAATTTTATATTCATTAAAATTAAATTAGAATTTTATAGGACAACATATAAATGTTAAGATTATAATCACAATACTTAGTGATATATTACTATTTTACTTAATAAAATATTAACGAATCTTAGATTAAAAAGTAGGGTTTTAATATTATAATTATATTTGTATATAAATTCATTAATTTTATGTCTAATTCTGACATTTTAATAAATTTTCATTTCTTATATGCCTTACATAAATCAATATTTTACCTGTTTCATCCATATTGAAGATCTCATTTGCTGTAAGTCTAGTAGTATCCAAAATATTTTTAAGATTATCAAAAAAATTTTATACATTATCCTTATTAAAATTAGTAGCCCTTGCAAGGCTAGTTGCTTCAGGGCTCCTCAGTGATATAGAGGGATTTCTTTTAAGAAATGCTCCTAACCAAT